AGAGGAATACACCAAGCATTTATATATTTTTCCTTTAAAAAAAGAGCATATGTTGTGCATTTGTATATGCCCACAGTTACTGCTGATGAGTCAAAACAATTTAGGTAGATATGAAAAAGTACAAATGAAGAAATAGCACAAATGATTGATTAGAATCTTTGATGAGTCAAGGTTGAAATACTTGGAACTGATAATGTAGCAACACACACAATACTTGCATTAACACACAGTTTTAGAACAATCTGGGATAAACTGATGATTGATATATCTAAACAGCCCTTTTCTAACTTGGCTGTATATTTTTAGAATTGTGGGCACTGCAGGTGGCAGTACCTACTGATTTTGGCTGATCTTAAAAACCAAATAAAACCAAACCAAATCCTAAAGAAGACCAGAGCTGATTAGTATTTAGTACCTGAGGACCAGGGAAACCCTGGATTATAGATTGCACTGAGAAGAAAAGGCACACCAGCAATATGAAAATCACAATCATTCTGAAAAAGGCTTTGGCAAACCAATTGTTTATATTTTTTTAAAAAAGCAACTGAGCTTGGAAAGAGAGAGGGAAGGAGGTGGGGAAAGAGAGAGAGAGGGAGAGGGAGGGAAAGAGGGAAACTTATCTTTTAGTGTCCAATTCAGCTATAGCACATGGTTGGGAAAGTCTTCTCTGGACAATCAGTAATAATTTAGGATTGAAGCAACGTTTGAAGAAATATCTTCTACTTATAGTAAAACATGTCCACACCCTAGATTTAGAAAGAATTTGCCTTTAAGAAAATAAGTCAAAAGATGAATTATGTGATAAAACCAATGGGCAAAGTGAACACCTTTACATTTGAAATACGAAAACGAAGAAATTATTTGCGCTTTCTTTTTATTTGAGAGAAAATTACATTATATCTATATCTACAAGTAGAGAACATTCAACAGTTTCAATGAGAAAGACAATCTGTGGATTATTTGAAATTACATTACTTGTATACTTGTCCAATAGGATAGTCTTATAGCAACAAATTATCAAAGATGAAATAGTAAAAATCAAAAACCTTCTAAAAGTTGGTACAAAAGTCATTGATCTTCATGATTTCATAACAGTCATAATCATTTAACACAGGAGGCCAATTCAGTAATAATAATAGTCTTGATATCAATCAGTCAGCTATGTGAAATACTGAAGATGTCTGAGTAGGCCATCTTTCCTGAAAAGAGAAAATATATCTGTGATGTCATTAGAGTAAAATTAACAAGAACCCCAACAAGATGAAAACGGGCAAGCAAGTATGCCACAAGTGGTCAGCAAGTGTTCAGGGCAGGCAGATGTCATTATGTCACAGCAAATGACAAAGATGTCACAACAAACAACGAACAACAACAAACCCCACAAGCCCAAAAGGCCAGGGATTGCATCCTGATGTCACAGTCCACATTTTGGGAAGTTTGCAGTTGTAGTTCGCCCCGATGTCCAGGCTAGGTACAGATATAACCAGCTAGGATAGAAAAATGCAATCCTTTCCAGGTCTATTCAGAAGTAGGTGTCAGCTTCCCAAGAAATGATTTGCAGGATTAATTATTAGAGATAATGTAGGAATGGTCAAAATGTGATCCTTTGAATAGCTACCAACACCACATCTGCCTATCAAGAAGAATGTTAGGAAGTTCCCAGCCTGGCAAGAAGGAGGTGTCAAGTTAGTCTGGAATCACTGCACAACTGCAAAAGGGCTGGCCAAGTTCCTAAGGGCATCATCTCCTTATTCCCACGAGCAGGCTGCCAGATTTGGGAGTGCCCTGTATTATATGTAGAACGTTATCTTGAACTCTGCACACGTGAACCTGGTTGTTTGCACCTAACAGGGAAGGAATATAGAGTTCTATAATATTTAAAGGCAACCTACTGCTGTGTAACACCATAATATATTATTTCATTGTCCTTAAAAATGTAATGTTGGAGCTAAAGGGGGAAATATTCTGTATATTGGATTGCATTTTTATTATTTATGATTATGTGTTAAAAAAAAGAACAGAATACTGATGGAATGTTATAACATCATGCACAATGCAGGAAGAAATCATCCATTTACTTTAATCGTATTACTAAAAGTGAAGCACAGTTCAGATAATAAAACTGAGTGCTGAGATAGTCACCATAGAGTTATCTAGTTTTTTAAATTTAAAAATAACAATTTTATTAATTTTATTAGAACTACATGGGAATTACCTCTCCAAATTATTATTTATTTACATACAGTATATCATACATGGACTAGCACTATATATTAACATTTCACCTAGATTATATTAGATTTAGATCAGATCTCTCCAAAGTTTGAATATAATTCAAACAAAATGATTAAAAATAAAAAAAAAACTAAATAGAAGCTAACAAATGAGCAGGTAGTGCAATATTAACTTGTGGAATTCACTGTTATAAGATACATTGGTGACAAATTACTTAAATACCTGTGTAAAATAGAAATAGAAAAGAATGCTGATTACAAATTGGGCATTAGCCACAATGGAATTATTTTTGCTCCAAGATCATCTTCACATTCCTACGTGAACTTCCGTGTGGGAATAAAACAAAAAAAAAGAATCAAGCTTCTAGCTGGCAAGGGTTGGGAACTTCGGGTTAGAAACTCCTGGAGTCTCTTTCAGTTGAATAATCCCACCAGAATTCTCCTGAAAGGAATAAGAGATATCCCTTCTTGTACCCTGCCAGGCTTCTCAGCATCACAGCAGGTGTTTAGCCTTCACCTTAGGCAAAATGTGACAGCTATCCCAGAGAGCAGTAGTTTTGCATTCTGAAAAGAAAAAAAAAAACATTCAAACTTATTTTTACAATCTGTTGGAAACCCAGGGATCTACTACAGGTTCCATTCAACTTTGTCGCTCGTATCCTTACAATTTATATGGACTGTTCCCTAATATGATTTGATTGCCTATTTGTACCCTATGACTATCATTAAGTGTTGTGCCTTTTGATTCTTGACAAAAGTAACTTTTGTTTTATTTACACTGAGAGCATTTGCACCAAGACAAATTCCGTGTGTGTTTCAATCACACTTGGCCAATAAAGAATGCATCCGTTCACTCATTCATTCATTAATGGAAATCCACATCCCAAGAAACACCAGCACTATATTTCTATTCAGAAAAATCACCCCCCCCCCCACAGCCCCCATCACCAGAGATGGATGGGGAGGGTCCAGGAATGTAAGCTCACATTTTCTCCCCATATTCCAACACTTTGGAGGCTCTGCTTTCTGTCCCTACATATCCCTCACTTTGCAACTTCTGGCTTCTTTTTAACCAAAGCAATCAGATCCTATGATTAATTATCCAGTTTAATTAATAGGGATGGCTTAAGGATAAAGTGGAGTAGTGAAATGGGGGAAAAAACCCCACCTGTTTAAATTCTGTATTTCTGAGGCTGGCCCTCTGTGCTTCCGATGTCAGTAAGGTGCATATGGTTAGGACCCTAGTTGTGCATCGCCAGGCACATTCTTAAGTTACATAAGCCCCTTCGCGTGCAATCCTTTGAGAATGCGCCACCCCTCCTTGGGTGACTCTGCCTGGGAAAACCTCCCAGTCAATCCTTTTCCATGTAGACAGAGCTGGCTCAAAGAAAAACGACCATGTCTCACTTTCTGCTCGAAGTGGTCAACACAAAAGCCTCATTCTTTTTCAGCTTAACTAAAACTAAACGGAGAGCGGACCCAATAACACCCCCCCACTTCTGTTTTAATTCCTTGTGAGTGGGGGCTGCTATCCTAAGGCTGCCAATGAAAAGATCTCATTCGCAGCACCTTAAGACGATAGGCTCAAGATCCAGATGGATCTTGACAGACTAGAACACTGGGCCATCTCTAACAAAATGAAATTCAACGTAGAGAAAAGTAAAGTCCTACACTTAGGCAAGAAAAACCAAAAGTACACATATAGACTGTGTGAAACCAGGCTCAATAGCAGGAACTGTGAGAGGGATCTTGGAGTCTTAGTGGACAGCCAGCTAAATATGAGCCAGCAGTGTGCAGCTGCCGCCCAAAAAGCTAATGCAATCCTAAATTGTATTAACAGAGGGATACAATCAAGATCAAGTGAGATACTAATATCTCACTCTAGAAAGCCTTAGTAAGACCACACCTAGAGTACTGCATCCAGTTTTGTTCACCACACTATAAAAAGATGTTGAGACTCTAGAAAAAGCACAGAGAAGAGCAACCAGGATGATTAGGGGACTGGAGGCTAAAGCATAGAACGAACGTTTGCTGGAACTGGGCTTGGCTAGTCTAGTAAAGAGAAGGACCAGGGGAGACATGATAGCGGTCTTCCAATAGTTGAGGGGCTGCCACAGGGAGGAAGGGTCAAGCTATTTTCTAAAGTGCCTGTAGGCCAGACAAGGAATCATGGATGGAAACTGAACAAGGAGAGATTTAACCTGGAAATAAGGAGAAACTTTCTGACAGAACAATCAACCAATGGAACAGCTTGCCCTCGGAAGTTGTGGGAGCGCCATCACTTGAGACTTTCAAGAAGAGATTGGACTGCCATTTGTCAGAAATGGTGTAGGGTCTCCCGCTTGGGGGGGGGGGGGGG